AATTTATGAATGAAAAGGAGGTCGGACTGGGTGTCTGTACATCGGGTTGGTGTGCAATGAGGTGGTCCTAGGTGCCATGGGTCGTACCAGTGATTCGGGACACCTGGAAAATTTACCATGTGTTCCTGGATATAAGGGTAGTACAGGTTGGGCCTAGGTTGACGGTTAAAAGGCATAGCATCAAAAGGTCTACCCATCCAACTGCTATTCGTCATACCGGTACACACCTTCGGGTTGTTTTTATAACTTAAAGGGAATTGTGAAGGAAGGTGCTTTGGCTGCAAGACTTTAGGAGTCTTGGAGCCTGACTTTCTATAAGGTGGAGCATGCGGAACACCTCCAGATATACTTATGTTTCGAGAGGAGTTTTTCGTAACAAGTGATGGTTTGTTGGCATTCTTACTCTCAGCAGGCTTATTGAATACAAAGTATTCTTCCCCATCATTAGTCTCAACCCTGCGAAATTTGTTCATCGTGGTGAGGTTACTACGTTTGGGGGGAAATTTCTTAGAACAACTTGCAGAAGTTCTAGTCATTTTAACATCTTTCGATGAGGCTTTATTTACAGGGGTACTGGTATCTAAATCAGTTCCTAGTTCCATTGGCAAGGGTGTTTGTTGTGTAGTTTGCTGAATGCTAGTTTCAGCACTAGGTGTCTGTTGCTGTGCACGATCCTTTTTTGGTAAATCTAAGCTAGAGGAGGTGACCAGGTTATTACTACGCATTATTCTGCGCTGACACGGTGTTTTATCCTGAGCTACGGTTATAGACTTATAACTGCTATTCAGTCTTAAGTGATCCTGACATTTAGTAAACTTACTAGCATCAAGGGAATTACTGAATTTAAAAATGATTGGGCAATTAGCCTGGTTAGACTTTTTACGAAGTCGTTTGCATTCACATGGAACACTAGCCATGCCGCAACAAATCAGGATTTTGTGTCTTACAGTTTTCAGGGGCAGAGAATCTGGGACGTTGTAAACTATAGCTTGGTGAGAAGAGGTTATACGCTTCATCACCTCCGTAGCCAAGCAGTCAATCAGATTTTCAGCTTTATTTAGGTTGTCTGGAGATATTTTAGGATGCCTCTTTAAAAGACAGGCTATTGGGTCTAAATTCAAAAGCTTATTTTGAGTTACATCCAGTAAAGACTTAACCTGGCCAATATCAGAACGGCTCTCCGTGGTATTTGAGATTGGCAGTGACATACTATCAAACTGATCTAATTTTTTCTGAATTTCACTTACTTGCCTCTGCATATCTTTCAAAAGGAGGTTTAGTTTACAGAACTCAGAGTTCTCTAACAGAACATCTTTCACCTGTATCACAGGAGTGAGATCTGCACTCAAACCATTTTGAGAGCTAGTAGTTGATACTGTATTACCAGGCGGTAATGCAGTTATAACCGAATTTGAGCCACTATCTAAAACAATTGTGTTTCTACGAACACGTTTTTTAGAGATTTGGACCATAATTTCAAGAATTATATGACAATAAGCAGTAAATAAATTTCAGAGCAAACACGTGCAAAAATGTCACCAATTTCGAACGTACCTCCAAACTGTCCAACTGACACTTGTCTTCAACTCCAAGGCATACTCGTTTATCGGTGGTTCATCTTCTCTACAAGGCCACATACTATCAGCCCTTAGCAAGAACTCTGGACCTTTCCACCACTTATTTTTAACCACATTCATATCAATAACTCCTCGCGAGGCTAGATCAGCTGGATTTTTTCCAGACGGTACGTACCTCCACTGCTCAACAGTTGTTAGTTCACGAATTTGAGATACTCTGTTAGCTACAAAACATGCATATCTTGCTGACTCGTTGCGTATATAATATATCACAGACATCGAATCAGTCCAAAACGTTACGGGATACTTGGGGTAATCCAACTCTCTACACACCGTTGTGAATAACTGCGCAGCTAGTAAGGCTGCAGTAAGTTCTAATCTCGGAATCGAAACCGTCTTTAGAGGTACAACTCTAGATTTACCCATCACCAGGCTAACATCTATATCATCCCTTAAGGTGGTTCTGATGTATACGGCTGCACCAAATCCAACCTCAGAGGCATCAGAAAAACATGGAAGTCAATTATATCATGATTTCTCGACGGCTTAAGTGGACGTGAGACGGAATGTAGATTCAGCATTCTTAAACTGTTAACCCACCCCTTCCACTCTTCTCTCTGCCTCTCACTTGATGGTTCATCCCACTGTAACCCTTTCCTGTGTGTCTCTTGAAATAACCTCCTAGCCGAAAAGAAAGTATTTGCTGCTAATCCAAGTGGGTCAAGCAGGGACGACAACACATAGAGCACTTCTGCGAACAACTGGCTTATCAATATCATCAAGACTAAACCCAAAGTTATCACAGTTCACATCCCATCGCATACCTAATATGCGTTCAACTGGTAGAGTATCATCAGGCAAATGTGCGTCGATGGCACAGTGGTTAGGACTCTCGCCGACCATGCACATGGTCCGGGGTTCGAGCCCACTCCGGCGCACACCTGATATCTATGGTCGGCCTGCAAAATTTGGGCTACCGATATCCATGCTGAAAATTCCATACTTGTACCAAAAATACAGTGTGGAATCAAGCTGTAAATCAAAAATAAAATAAAAAATTAAATAATCTCGTACAGTAGGTGCTCTGTCTTCTGGAAGTATATGCTTCAAAACGTCCAGGCTCTTCGAGACCCACTTAGTTAGACGAAAGCCGGCCTTAGCTCTCATCAAATACATTGAGTTCATTTCATCATTTAATAAAAAACTACTTGTCAATATATTTGAAGATTAAACGATCAATTCATGGTTGTTTGCTCATAACTAACTTCCCTATATTTTCGCGGAGGCATCAATACACCAGTCATCGTCTCATCGGTCGCTGTTCAAAAAGAACGTAGAAAAGCCGTCAGAACACTTGGTTTATTATGCTGCTTGTATGTTGGTGTCAGAATAAAGAATTTTCTAGTCGCCAATCGGTGTTCCGGTTTTCGCATCTGTTAGTACTTAGCGTTTCTGAAATGCCTCGAGGGACGGCGAGAGGCCCGGCGTAGCAAGAGCTGGGCATTAACGGTTTTTGAGACATGATTGATACTACTCAACATGATTTCAAACTCCTTTACAAACTGTAAATATTCAGCTGGGTTTCCGTCGAAACACCGAGTCTCAAATTTAAGCAGTTTAATATTCCCATTATCCCTAGACGACGAAACATTGAAAACAACCTTATCACGCTTAACATCAAACACATCGTTACATGTAACAGACAACTCAACATTACTTACTTTCCTTCTTGCTTCCAAGACGCTCTGTCCCTTCTTTTTCTCCGGCATCACTGAACTTGAGGAAAAATCCCAGAAAAGTTTCATATAATACTTGTGCAAAGATAACTTGAAGCCGTCAGCAAAGACAATCAGAAACTATGAAAAACTCTCAGAAGCTGTCAATGTCCAGCCTTTACTACTCTGAAGTTCATGCTGTCCCTGGAATACTTTCAGAAATACTTTGTATTGACTAACGCGAAAACCAGAATACTGATTGGCGACTCGAGAATCCTTTATTCTTACGCCAATATGTAACGAACAATATGGTTACTACACAAGGTCTGCGAATAAATGTTGTAACAATAAATCACGATAATACTTCTGATAGTTTTTTTCTCTTCCACTGAACAGCGAACGATGAAAGGATGACTGCCGTTTTGATGACCCGCCAAAATTATTGAGGAGTTGTGTTTGAGCAAACAAGCATGAATTGATCGTTCATTTTTCATTAACGTTGTCAGAGGTTTAATTGACAGAACTCAGGCTTTTCTAACAGAACCTCTTTCACCTGTATCACAAAAGTGAGTTCTGCACTCCAGCGATTTTGAGACCTTGTATTTGTTACTGTTTATAGGGTGGTAATGCAGTTATAACCGAATTTGATCCACTATCTGAAACTATTTGTTTCTACGTACACGTTGTTTAGAAATTTGGACCATAATTTCAAGAATTATATGAGAATAAGCAGTGAATGAATTTCAGAGCAAACATGTGCAAAAATGTTACCAATTTCGGACGTTCCGCCAGAGGTTTTTGAAAATAGTTCGTATTACGAAAGGTTTAATAAATGAGATCTATACTCACTCAACTACCGTCAGCTTAGCGAGGGACTTAATGACTCCCTGTAAGATAACATATGACCAGAATAATAGAGTCATAGGTGTTCTGCCACTGAGTAGGTATAGGCTTCCTCGTGGAAATCCTCTAAGTATAGATCACCAGAGGGCAAAGCCTCGGATGCGCTCCCATTTCTTTTCACTTCAGATTTGCAGTCCCTGGAACTCCTTACTGGCTGATGTAGCCTTTGCACCGTCATTGAACACTTGTAAAAGAAGGCCCGATAATTAAACAGCGACACAAGGACTGCGTTCAGAGGGCCTATCCCCTAAAATTCCGACACTCCATCCATGGGTAGACATCTGAACTCATAATTCTGCTTCTTTCATTGTCTCCTGTCTTACTCTCCTGACTATTCCAACTACTACGCTTACAATTATTATCTTTACTGATGTTATATACATGTATATTTATTTATTATTTATATTAACTCCGAACCTACTTGGATGTCTGTTTTTAAGTTTTTTATTTCTTTTTCTGTTTATTTTAGTCTGAATAACCTACACTAATTATGTTATTCTAATTATTATCTCTTTTCTTTTGACGGCGATACCGGAGGACTAACTTGTGGAAGGACCAACTCCATTAACAGTAGTAATATGGTCCTATGACGCCATATACTACAAATAACATAATTAATCCCAGCTCCACTCCTTTAGGAGTCAACCGAATCTACGACAGTCGAGTGGCGGGACGAACGACGCAGAATTTGCCCGAAGACCAGGAACCTTTACTTAAGAATAAAAAAGCGACCATAAAGAAATCAAAATGGTTTATGCTAGCTCGTAAAAACGATATTGGATATTGTATTGGATATTGAACATGTGGAATGTGTGTCCATGTTGTGTTAGCCCGCCATTACGATCCATTAACGTGGTGCTCCCTCGTGGCTAAGGCAGGTTGCAGCTCACGTTTAGCAAGATGTCGAAAAGCGAGCTCGCTTGTGTATACGCAGCCCTAATGCTAGCTGATGACGACATAGATGTCACAGGTAATTTAAGTTGTCATTGTTTTTGTTGCTCATACTAGTTCGCTAAGGTGTAGATCATTGTAATGTAGATAGGCTCACTTCATGTTCATATATTACGAGTGAATGCATTAGGCTGGTTAACTTAATGTTTAATGGATATGACATTCATTACTGTACATATGTCAGTCCCTAATAAACATGTAGGAGTGTTTTTACAATGTGCCTCGTATAATTCTACCTGTTAATGTTCTTTTTTCCCTCTAGCTGATAAAATCAATACTATACTAAAGGCAGCCAATATCAAGTTTGTGGAGCCGTATCTTCCTAACCTTTTCGCAACTGCTTTGAGTGGAAAGAACATCAAGGATCTGCTGATGTCTATGGGTTCGGCGGCGCCTCCAGCAGCTACCGCACCAACTGCAGCCCCAACTGCATCTGGGGCTCCTGAGAAGGCGAAGGAACCTGTTAAAGAAGAAAAGCCAGTATCAGATGACGATTCGGACGGGTCGATGGGCTTCGATTTGTTCGGTTAATATGTTAATCGTATAGTAAACATTTTGTACGGTCGGACCTTACTGTTTTCATGTTTTCATTCGCAAGGTGTATTGCTGGGGTGTGGTTATGTATACTACTGGACTTAGGTCTATTCGCACAGTTTTATAGAGTTATGTAGCAGCTCGTGTGATCGTTTGTTGAGAGCTATGGTTTTCATGTATTTTGTTGACTACTGCAAGCATACTTAGTAGGTGCATGTTTTGAAGTCTTTGGCTTAATATTGTGTACTCATGTAGAACTAGTAGTCGTCCTCTCCCATCGCAATAAGCGATATGGTCCGCTTGTAGTTCCGTGTTACTCCCTACCTGCCGAATCCATATAGGTGGTCTAGCTATTATTAAATTAATCCTTACTGTCTGCTGTAGTTCCCGTAGATGCTTTTACCGCTTGTATATTAGTTCGTTCGTTAGTCAAATGTAACTGCGTTATATTGTCTTACGGTTAGACGTCCGTGTCGCTTGACCAGGAAACCAGTTTTTTCGTTGAGTGAGGTACTTGGCGTTCGAATAAATCCGGTCATTTCCTTAAGTCTGTCGAAGCACTATGTTAGTGGGTGCTCATCCTTTCGATATCTGTGATTGACCGTAGTGAGTAGCGCGAAAGCACCGCAGTACTACAGTCCGTTTTTGTTGAACTGCATTTTGCTGAGAAATTAGCGGATAGATGAATCTGCGGATCCCTTTCAGAGACACAAAGTTCAACACAGTAAGGTGGTTTGTGTCAGTTGATTACTTGTCGGTCACTTGCCTCCGCCTGAAACGAGAAGCCTATTACTGACCTATCTATTATACGTATTTCTCTCAAATGTCTCCCTACTTCTGGTCCTGGGGAATGACATTCAGGAAGGAGGTGGTTCGGCGTGAGTGATTCATCCTGTCCAACCTGAGCAAGTGGGTAGTATCATCAGCACACTTAAAAGTGGTTGGTCTAGTAGATTGAGACGTACGGGGGACTGGTTTCAAGCATGAGTTCGGGTGTGTAGAAGTTTCATAATTGTATGTGTGTGTTTTGACCGCAGTGGATGCATTTTATTTGGTGTATCATCAATGAATAGGCGTTTGTGTGTGCTATAGTCGTTAATTCACTTTGTTTGAAGTTTAGACGTTGGATACAAATTTATTCACTTATTGTTAGAATGTGTCACTTAGTTTTGCAGTGTCATCGTTGCAGTTCATTCTAGTTTTACATTGAATACTGTCTTCGTCTTCTGGACTTCACCCATCATCTTCATGCTGACACACTTATATTTGAATAAGGCATTAAGAAGACAAATTTCGCGAGATAATATCATCAAGGGAGTGGAGTACTCGACTGACATGTAGTTTAGCACCTAATTTTGATGACTGGTGACATTATTACTCACTTGTGCAAGTACTGTCGGCCAACGGACCCCAAATAAGTTGGAGTCTGCGTCCTGGTTACCTATGCTTCCCACCATTGAGTAACTGAAGTCCATAATTTTTGAGTAGTATTGTTGACAGCGTTAGATATCAAGGTTTTTCGATCATGATTGATTTAAGAAACGAGATAGAAAATAGCTTACTAGGTTTTGGGGAATTTAGTAGGTCGTTATTAAGATGTAATCTCCCTGACAGGTTACTATGAATCGACTTCCCAAAACGAAATTTCTCTCAACTTAATTATTGTACTATTTTGTGCCTATAACACGAATCTGACTTCCTGGGAAGGGGATAAGCTAAAGTGTAGGTTATTTTTAAATTGACTCTTTTTGCAGACACTGTCGTATCTCACTTAATGACATTACATATACGTTATTTTAAAACTGCTTTGAATGGCTATCATCCACACGACGTTTCGGCTAAATTCCAAGCTACATGTCGCAGATGATTGGTAATGTATTTATATACTCTTTTCTCTAAAAAAGGGTTTCATGCACGATTCCTTGATAAACATCGACAAAGCAAGAGAAACTACGTTTGCAGTATCAGATGGTATTTGATTTTGGCGGTAGTCAACGGCTGCAGACTACCTGAGATTACACTGTTTATAAGGGAAAAAAAATGAAAATGACACATCAGCATTTACGTGGAGACAGAGAACCCGTTATGCATTAAGGTATCCAAAGTGTCAACGTCAAAATTCTTAGCTATCTTAAATTTATAGGCATTTCAAAAAAAAAGCCGAAGGGGAGCAGAACACAAAGAGAGAGCTGTCATCTTATAAGATAACCACCACAAATAACCTAGTGGGACTAAGAATAGTTGCACTTCAGTATTCCTCTTGAAATGTCGTGTGCCTACGAGTTCATGGCCTTTGACGGTTTTTTTCCTTCACGTTTCCAGTGGAACGTAGAGCTTCAAGATAGTGCCTTGACGTTTCTGTAGCAGTGTTTATTTTTACAAGATGGGGCTGCTAGCCTCATGCCCAACCTTTCCTCTTTACCAGCATTATTTCTGGCTCAGTGAGGTAAAGGAGTTTGTCGGCCGGCGATCGAACCCCGGGGCCATTTGCATGGTCGGCGAGCGTCTTAACCGCTGTGCCACCGACGGGTAAGTGCCACTTATTGCCTTCATTGGGCGGCTGTGTTACTTACAAAAGTGAAAAGGCGAATGCGAACGTCTAGCGTTTATAACCAGACTGGTAGAGATGTCTGTTTACTTAAGGAAGCTTAGAAGTTTTAATTCCAGACCTATGGTGTACATGGAGTACAGAATCAGAACAGATTGAGTGGCGCGTGAACCTGTGTCCGTCATCGTTAACCATGGCAACGCTGCTCCACTGCCTTGTGGATGAAACTTCAAGTCAGAGGCTTGGAAGTGGCCCATTACGACAACCACTCGCTTCGGTCTTAGGCGTCCGGCTAGTACCCTACTCCCTACACAAGCTATAAGATTGTATGTGATGTATATCTCGCCGTCCACAGTGAATGTTTGTGTTTTAATTAAATAATTAAGTCAAGAAAATTATAATTCGTAACACTGAAATTAATTCAGTGAGGTGAAATCCGCAACATGGATCACTGTGCAATCAGCGTAATCAAAAGGCGAAAGGTTGACCATACTGTCATCCTGCATACTTGTCCACTAGTTAGACTAAACTGAAAATTAGTGGAAACCTGAGTACAAAGATCAGCAACAGAGATCTCTGGGAACAAAGCAACCAGGATCCAGTTGCATGAGCTTATAGGGAATTGTGGAGCCATCTGAAGACGACTTCAGAGAACATGATGAAATGGAGATATGCTGCTGAAGACCTCCTATATTCTACTCGAAAGCGGAGTGATTAATAATAATTGATCACTGTAGTTTATTTCACTTACTTCCTTTCACAAATTGATTGATAGAGAGATAAGAAGCTCAACAAACAACATCTTTTTTTCATTAATCAATTATTTTTACTCATCAACATCATCACAGCTACTAAATTGTTGAGAATAATTGCTTAATAAAGTTAACTCATGAAGAATCACATATTTAATTGTTTTTATAGGATCATTTGTATCACAAGAAAAAAGCGACAAATAGCATAATAATAATATTATAAATAATTATCAGTATAAACCAACCAATAAATTGATAGAAAGACTTTTTTTAAAGACAGAAAAGAGAAAAGAATCACAGTAAAATGAAATATTATCATTTTTAAAGCCATAGTTAAACAGTAATCAATATTATTTGTATAATTAAACACAATAAAGGCAATGCATAAAAGAATTACAAATGAAATTTCACAGTCAAAAATATTAGGTGTAAAGAAAGTAATGGTAGTTTTATACTTTTAGGAGAATGAATAGACTAAGTTTGCAGATCGCGACAGAAATAAACAAAATATGCTAAAAATAAAGGTGGTAAGAGGAAAATATGCACAGAGTTGTGAAAACAACAAGGAGAACTGAAACAGTCAATCAAACAATACTACTTACAAATGACTGATAGATTCAAATTTTTCCTAAGATTGTATGATGCTTGGAAGGCGAGCTGACTATATAAGTACCGCGGAAAAGAAGGGAGCACAATTTTCTTCCTTCGGGATTCTGTCTGTTGCTGGAATATTAATAGAATAATTTTCCAAAAAAGTGATGGAAGTAAAAGGTTATGGACGTCTTCGATTACTAAAACTGCATGTTCTTCTCATTTCAAATGACGGATTATTTTTTTCAGAATGATGTTGAACACGTAATGATGTTACTGATCTATTCATTACTGGATTTCTTATTAATTCATCTTCGGATTCGTTTCCATCAGCAGAGGTGTCTAATAAGTTCTGACTGTCAACTGCTTCAGAATTGTTACACACTGGTGGACTACGACGAGTAAGCAGACTACGCCAACTATTGCGTAAAGATAATGCCTTATCTGCTAGGCTATGAATTCCTGATGATAACTGGCTGTCCCGTCTTTGCCTGGTTTTTATCTAGTTGAAACGAAACAAATTTTAACGGATGGAAAATAAAACCCCGTGTTACAAATTATCAGTCAAATGTTCGGGTAAGTTTCTAAGAACATTTTAAGAGAAACATAATGGAGTGGCAGTCAGTCATTAAAAGATAGTTGGTGTGCATGAAGTCTTAAGAGAGAAGTTCAAGTATCAAAACCAAAATCAAGGTCTGTCAACTTTCTAGAACCAATCAGACTTAGCAAAACGTCAATCCAAATCAAGTCTGCTTTTTTGAATTTGGCGAGGTAGGAACAGTAGTCTACTCAATTCCTAAGTAATTCTTTGTAAATCTACACTGTTAAGTACGGTTATGGTATTTTAGATTAAAACTAGGGCCTAAGGTTAAGGTCAGGATTACAGTTAGAGTTAGGGACAGGTTAAAGAAAAATGTCAGAATTATCAATGGATCTCCAAGTACCATGATCTACAGTCACCGGGATTAATACATCTATCGCACATGGTATGATTTCTCTATAGAATACCCGTGTGTTTACTGGGAGACATTCTTGTAAGAAATAAGTGACAATTGTCCAGTATAATATCATACTTGCAATGTTTTTTAGTGCATTTTTGAACTATTATGTGACTTTTTGCATCTGAATTCTGATTGGTTGTTCTAGGTCGCTGTGATTTTGGCTAAGATAGTTTGACTTCTCCATCTTAAGACAAACATATCTCTTACCTGAAATCAGATTCGCAATTGGCAATTTGCAGAGTTTAAGGAGCTAAAATTTCACCAGTTTTTTCTGGGAACCGAAACCATTCAGATCGCATTTTGTGATCTGTTTGGTGCCATAAACAGTAATCAAGGAAGCAAGTACATTTGTATAAAGCTATATACTACTGGTTGATTGCAATGGGTAGCTGCATTCGACTCACTCATAGCTCTCCGGGCTGGATCAAACCGATGATGAGCTTGGCCTAGAACAAGCGAAAAAGTCGTCTGGTATTCAGATCACTTCGATCTAGATAGCAAGTCCTAATGGTTGATGTGAGTGGTATACAAATACTCATTTCAACCAATCAGTAATATAAAATTTACGTTTCTCAACTCTTCACTCAACAACTAGAAGTGGAAGTATAATAATCAGTGGAATCAGTTAGTAGAAGGTTTTATCAACCAAAATAAACAGTTCTGTTTATCCCAAAACTAATTATATTGATTATTGCAATTCATAGGAAACGTGATAAGTTTTCCTACGACAATCACAGGGGGACTAGCTTGACTAATATAGAATCTAAAATGTTATGGTTCGATAATCATGCGTAAACTAGGCGGTGCCCAGGAAAACAGACAGACTTTGGGTTACTAAGAGGGTGTATTGGTCATATCTTTACCTTTCGATAAGTTTTAGAACAAGAATACTAACTGGCGTCCAAAAACTTGCCATGTTTCTTGACCTGGAAGGGGCATTCGATTCGTTTGACTCAGAAGTGCTATGCGAATGTCTGACTGAGAAAGTATAATGCGCTAAATCAAGACACTTTACTAGTACTCACGCAGCCGTTTTGTAGCTAACCGAGAGTTGACATCTGAAGTAATGACAACCAAGTAGTGTCCATCATTGGATGCCTACAGTCCCTATTTTTGTTTATTTTTATTATATATGTACCAGTGAATGTGACCCTAATCGACTTTAGAGGCTTATGGATTTACTTGTTACCAGGATAAAGTCTCGTCAATTTAAAGTCTATTGATTACATTGTCCTCCTAGGTGGAGATGGTGACAAAATGCAAAGTCTTCTGAACATCCATAGCAAATAACCTAGTATGTTTGGCAAGCGATTCATCCCTGTCAAATGCAAGGTGATGCTGCAAGATTAGTCTACAGCAACTCCTAGTTTAAAGATAGGTATCGAAATGGTTGAACATATTGACCACCTCAATCATTTGGGGGATTGCATTACCCTCCAAGGACTCATTGCTGTCAGAATCTCAGCGCGGACACAAAAAAAGTCGTGTAGCACTCATCAAAATATGCCATTTCCGATGGTATCTGACTACCAGTCAAAGCACAGACATACTGAGCAGTAATTCGTTAGATGTCGTTGAACACAGATGTTTACTTTCTATCTTAAATGTAAAATGGTGTGATGTGGACAGTAATAATGAGGATAATAGTAGAGCGTTAGATAAGAAGGGGAAAGCCAATCGATGAGGTTGAGAAGCTACATTAATTGAGAAGGGTAGGATACGTGTTACTTATGAGTAGCCATCACTTTCTTCAAATAACAATACTACCTGAAATAGCATTATGTTGGAAGAGAGCGAATGGTTGTCAAATCATGATGTCTTTGACTGCTGGTTTTAGGCACGTAGCTAGGTGTAGATTGTCTGATTGGGGTCCTCGGGATACTAAGAAGCAATGACTGAAGACTGCCCTTAATGATGTAAATGCATTCACTTTTTATGAACTCCCAAATCTACCAGATTCTCATTATTCTTTATGTACTTATTTTTTGTCTCGTACATATCTTTCCTATATAATCCATTTAAATTATTATTTCTCTCTACTTTTGTGTGCTACATGGATTTTGGTGACTTGAACTGCTGCCGTTTTGTGCAAAGTTATAGGCTGAAAACTCAGTCAGAATGATTTCATAATTTTAGTTGACTGATTCAAAACTGACGTCCAGAAGAAATTAAATGCTTGAAAACTATTGTATTAAAAGAAGTATATATTTGGTTTATGAACTATTCATTCAATCCAGTTTTCGAACAGGTCTAATTTTCTTTCAAAGACTAACAAATATGGAAAAAGGAAAAGTAAATATTATGTATTGATTTGTAAAGAATACTTATAATGTAGAACATTTATGAAGTTGTCACAATAAATGTATGACAGTTTCAAAAGCGTTATCCCCTAGACTGCTTGGGCCACCACAGCCACACTTTTCGTGCAAGGGGCCTCAGTTATTCTGTGTTTGGGTTAATTTTGTATTGTCTGTTGATTAAATATACTACACCATGTTAATCTTCGAACATCGTCGAAGCGTCCATGCTAGAAGCCAACATGTCAGCAGAGACTGAACATTTCGGTCCAATATAATCAATCAACGGGAAATACAAAATTGACTATAAAAAATAGCACTGAAAACATGTCGTAAAAGATCATATAGTGCACGTTGATGAGAATTCTTCTTGAACAATATTATTAATGTAAATGCCCTATTTTAATTATTACCCCTGTAGTGAGGAAATTAGATGCTGCTTTGTATTTCATGCTAAAAATTCCATATTTGTAGTAAAAGTACTGTTTGGAATAAAGCAATTATTTTTATAATATGATGTGTAGTTACCTGCAACAACAGCATACCCTCCAAAATGAGTTTACATGAAGCATCCATGAGGCAACAAAAATTATTCAAGGGCAACAAATCATATTGTAACGTTACAGGACGAAAGATTTGGTAATTGGTATCTCTGTATAGACAAATTATGTATACCTACCTTATCGTCAACGCACAGTTTGTACAGATCTTCGTGTCGTGCTACTTCTGCACTTCATATTGTGCCGCTTTGTGTTCCTTTCATGTCTCCATAACGCTGTATCATTTGCCTTCTCTGACATCAAACGTATTCCCCTGCTATTTGGTGTTTTTATGCCGACGAACGTCTCTTTATGTACTACTGACAAATCTTATCAGTAGCACAGGCCACAATATGATATTTTCAAGTATTGGTTTTGTAGGGATTTTGTTTGATTGCATGGAGGAAGTCGTGGGAAGCCGTGACCAGTAG